CTCCGCAGCAAGGGAGTAAGCCGCCTCAGCAAGGTCCACCTAAAGGACAGGGGCCTGAAGGTAAACCTGGAGGTCCTGGTCCCCAACAACAAGGACCCAAACCTGGTGGACCAGGACCTCAACAAGGACCCAAACCTGGGGGACCAGCAGCCCAACAGCAGGGACCTAAAACTGGGGGACCAGGACCCCAACAGGGACCCAAACCTGGGGGACCAGGACCCCAACAGCAGGGACCTAAACCTAGTGGACCAGGACCTCAACAGGGACCCAAACCTGGGGGACCAGGAGCCCAACAACAGGGACCTAAACCTGGTGGACCAGGACCTCAACAGCAAGGACCCAAACCTGGAGGACCAGGCCCCCAGCAACAAGGGCCTGGGAAACCTGGTCCAGGGGTTGCAGCAAAACCCAGTGGACCTCAACAGCAGGGTAAACCTGGGCCGGGGGCTCATTTGGAAGGACCTGGTAAAGCTGGGCCTGCTCAAAGAAAAGCATTGTGTCCTCTTTGTAATTCCACAGAGCTGAATGTGCAGGCCAAAGACCAGCCACCTAACTACAACACCTGCACTCAGTGCAAACAGCAGGTGTGCAGCCTGTGCGGCTTCAGTCCACCAGACTCAGCGGTAAGAGACATATCCGCTACCTTCTCTACATCAGTCATATAGATCTCACACTGGTCTTACGTTTTATCCAGATATAGATAAGAATGGCATATATTGCAGATTTTTCATAAACAATTTACAAGGCTCTATTTTTGAGTCTTTCTTTGAAGACATCAGTACAATCAGTTCATATTTGGTCAAGCTGTACGGGGTTTTGTTTTAATAACTCTAATTTGGTTCTGCTTAAAATGCAACTTGCACTAATTCCTCTCGTCTCTGAGTTTGGGAGAAAAATATTGGCACAGAAGGTGAAAGATTATCAAGGTCACTTACATCACCCAGACAGGACGTGGAGGAAGTTGTTTTTCACTGTGTTTAGAAACTACATTCATGAATTATATAGGCAGTGATTATACAGACAGTTAGCATTATTCCCGGGTCTATGTTAGAGAGAATAACAATATTAATCACACAGTGATGATTGTACAGTGTTATTCTTGTTTTTAAAGAATTAAAGTGTGCATTCCAATAAATGACTCAACCAAAACAACAATAAAAGTAAATGAAATGTTTTTCATGTAATTAAATCAAAAGTCATGGCTTTCAGAGCTTACTAATCAATCCAATAAGAATAAAGGATTACATATAATAAAGTATAACCGCAAGTTCTCCACAAATTAACATGTTGCATATGGGGTGTTTCTGTTGAGTGGCTGGCTATAAATGAAAATATTTTGATTGCTATTTTCTATATAATGAGCTTGAGGTAATGCAAATGCTAATCAATATTCCACCAGAAATGGTATTTGCTGCATCTGTGCTCATGTGCCTTGTCTTTCTCTGCATGTTTCTACAGGGTAAGGAATGGTTGTGTCTGAACTGTCAGATGCAGCGGGCAGTGGGGGGCATGGAGCCTCCTGGACCTTCAATGATGAAACAGCCCCCCAAGCAGGGTTCTGCACCTCCCTCCCCACAAAGGAAAGAGCCACCGTCTGGGTCTCCCTCTAAGGGTGAGCCAGGGAAGAAGCCCCCAATGCTGACCAAACAACAGAGTATTGCTGATACGGGGAAAGGAAGTACACCTCCAACTACACCAACATCTGGACCACAACAGGGACCTCAGCCTGCACAACTAGGGGCCAAGCTTGGGCAGCCTCCACCTCTTCAAAAACCTTCACAGAGCCCAAAAGGTAGTCCTCAGCCTTCTCCTGCAAAAACTACTCCAAAACAGGATGGAGGGGGCTTTTTTGGGGGATTTGGTCTGGGTGGATTGGCAGAGGTGACAAAAACCTCTGCAGGTGCCCAGGCTACTGAGTCAGTCACAGGGAAACTCTTTGGTGGTTTTGGTGGGTCGTCCAAACCTCAGGCCAGCTCTGCTGCTCAGGCCAGTGAGTCGGTCACAGGAAAACTCTTCAGTGGGTTCGGTGGGCTCACGGAGTCGGCTAAACCTACGGCAGCAAGTTCTCAGGCTGCCGAGAGTGTGTCTGGAAAGATGTTTGGTTTTGGCTCTTCCATCCTGAGCTCTGCCACCAATCTCATTTCTGGGGAGGAATCAAAGTCTACCCCCAAATCTCCTCCAGGATCGCCCCCTGATTCCCCCGTTGGGTCTGAAGCAGACTCCCCTCCTGTATCCCTCCCTGACTCAGGCTCAGAGTCACCTCCCGATACACCACCTGTTTATTCCAAAGAAACAGCATCTCCCAAACCTACAGGTGCTGAAGGAATATCATCAGCGGACATGCCCCCTCCAAAATCGACAGAAATAGTGGGGTCTCCGACTCAAGTTTCAGGCTCTGAGGCCCAGTCCTGCTGTCCACTATGTAAAGTGAAGCTGAATGTGGGTTCAGGAGAGTCACCCAATTATTGTGCCTGTACAGAGTGCCAGAAGACTGTGTGCAACCTGTGTGGATTCAACCCCACTCCACATCTCTCAGAGGTAAGAGTTTTGCTGCAGCTCCTTGTTAAAGTGTTTTTGAACAGTTTTTTTTTTCTCCTTAGTTTATTGGTGTATTTCCTATTGAAACAGGAAATTGGGCCGGAACACCTCAAAGGGCTTGTTCTGTTTTTAACTGCCTATAGCTTTTAGTTTTTCATCACGGCCAGCAACACTAAAAGACTGTTTATGCTACTTGTGTTTGCTTGTCGTAGGCAGGTGGTATTTATAATTTAGGAGGATGGGCCATTCTTATTCTAGAGGGCATTTTATTGGACAAGAATTTGTATATGCTCCTATGAACAAGATGAGTCATCTGTTTGTTTGTTTGGTTTTTGGTCCATTTTCAAGGAGGAGAAACTCATTGTGTCTATGTGCTACTTTTTTGTCAACTTACAAGTAAACTAGCATATAGACAGCATTAAAACTAACAGTTAACCCATTGTTAGATAACCTCTGGTGATCAGAGGTGTGATTTAAAATGGGTTTGGGTGATCTACGGTTCTTGCGTTTCTCTGGAGAATGGCCTTTTGCTGTTGCTCTTTGAAGTTTTGATTGTTATTTTGCATTATACATAAGACTCATCATTCCTGTCCCTGTTTACTTAAAAAGCTCGACACTTCACTGTGTAATCCAATGCACTTTGAGCCTCTTCGAGAGAATGTGTGTGCACTAAAGACAGAGAGAGTAATAGTCTGATCCCATCTCAGATGACTCACCAACTCTCTTCCTGTTGGAAAATAGCCTTTGCTTTTTAGTGAACAGAGAAGGAAGGGAGGTATGTTTTTAATGTTTTTTTTTTAAATAAGCAAAGGAATGTTTAAAAAGAAAGTTCATCTAAAAATGAAAATTCTGTCATCATGTATTCACCCTCATGTTGAATGAATTTTCATTTTTAGGTGAACTATGTCTATAAAATGATAACTTTAATGTGTTTTAAAATTATTCATAAGTTTTGCTGTCATTTTATATTTCATATTAACATGAGTTGCCTAGATGAAGTATCTAGACCTTGAGGACTTTTTGTTGATTAATAGGTTATATAATTATTTAATATATTCTATAATTACCTACTAAATTATTATATATAGTAGATAATTACAGTAGCTAATTACAGGGTTCAGTTAGTCATAGAATGCCTGAAAATATCAGGTTTTGAAATTACAATTTCTTTGTAAAGTTCCAAAAATGCTTTTGCTCTTTGTGATTTGGTTGGGACCCCAACAGCAGGGACCTAAACCTGGGGGACCAGGACCCCAACAGGGACCCAAACCTGGGGGACCAGGACCCCAACAGCAGGGACCTAAACCTAGTGGACCAGGACCTCAACAGGGACCCAAACCTGGGGGACCAGGAGCCCAACAACAGGGACCTAAACCTGGTGGACCAGGACCTCAACAGCAAGGACCCAAACCTGGAGGACCAGGCCCCCAGCAACAAGGGCCTGGGAAACCTGGTCCAGGGGTTGCAGCAAAACCCAGTGGACCTCAACAGCAGGGTAAACCTGGGCCGGTGGCTCAAGGGAAAGCAATGTGTCCTCTTTGTAATTCTACAGAGCTGAATCTGCAGGTTAAAGACCAGCCACCCAACTACACTCAGTGCACTCAGTGCAAACAGCAGGTGTGCAGCCTGTGCGGCTTCAGTCCACCAGACTCAGCGGTAAGAGACATATCTGCTGCCTTCACTACATCATTCACATAGATTTCACACTGGTCTCACTTTTTACCCAGATATAGATAAGAATGGCATATACTGTCAGCTTTTCGTACACAATGTACAAGGCTCTATTATTCTAGTCTTTCTTTGAAGACATCAGCAAAATCAGTTCATATTTTTTAATTAAAGCTGCAGGGTTTTGTTTTAATAACCCTTCTTTGGTTCTGCCTAAAATGCTGCTTGCACTAATTCCTCTCATCCATGAGTTTGGGAGGAAAATATTGGCGCAGAAGGTGGAAGATTATCAAGATCACTTACATCACCCAGACAGGAAGTGGAGAAAGTTGTTTTTCAATGTGTTTAGAAACTAGATTCATCAGTTATAAAGGCAGTGATTATACAGACGTTTGGCATTATTCCTGGTCCCTGTTAGAGAGAATAACAGTATTACTCACACAGTGATGAGTGTACAGTGTTAGTCTTGTTTTTTAAAGGATTTTAAAGTGTGCATTGCAATAAATGACTCAGCCAAACCAACAATACAAGTAAATTAAATGTTATTCATATAATTAAATCAGAAATTCATGACTTTCAGAGCTTACTAATCAATCCAATAAGAATAAAGGATTACAAAGAATAAATTATAACAGCAAGTTCTCCACAAATTAATATGTTGCATTGCATACTGGGTGTTTCTGTTAAGTGGCTGGCTATATAAATGAAAATATTTTGATTGTTAATTTCTAATGAGCTTGAGGTAATGCAAATCAATATTCTTACAGAAATGGTATTTGCTGCATCTGTGTTTGTGTGCCTTGACTTTCTCTGTTTGTTTCCACAGGGTAAGGAATGGTTGTGTCTGAACTGTCAGATGCAGCGGGCAGTGGGGGGCATGGAGCCTCCTGGACCTCCAATGATGAAACAGCCCCCCAAGCAGGGTTCTGCACCTCCCTCCCCACAAAGGAAAGAGCCACCGTCTGGGTCTCCCTCTAAGGGTGAGCCAGGGAAGAAGCCCCCAATGCTGACCAAACAACAGAGTATTGCTGATACTGGGAAAGGAAGTACACCTCCAACTACACCAAAATCTGGACCACAGCAGGGACCTCAGCCAGTACAACTAGGGGCCAAGCGTGGACAGCCTCCACCTCTTCAAAAACCTTCACAGAGCCCAAAAGGTAGTCCTCAGCCTTCTCCAGCAAAAACTACTCCAAAACAAGATGGAGGGGGCTTTTTTGGAGGATTTGGTCTGGGAGGATTGACAGAGGTGACAAAACCCTCTGTAGGTGCTCAGGCTAGCGAGTCAGTCGCAGGAAAACTCTTTGGTGGTTTTGGTGGGTCGTCCAAACCTCAGGCCGGCTCTACTGCTCAGGCCAGCGAGTCGGTCACTGGAAAACTCTTCAGTGGGTTCAGTGGTCTCACCGAGTCGGCTAAACCTACGCCAGCAAGTTCTCAGTCTGCCGAGAGTGTGTCTGGAAAAATGTTTGGTTTTGGTTCTTCCATCTTGAGCTCTGCCACCAATCTCATTTCTGGGGAGGAATCAAAGTCTCCCCCAGAATCTCATCCAGGATCGCCCCCTGATTCCCCCATTGGATCTGAAGCAGACTCCCCTCCCGGATCCCTCCCTGACTCAGGCTCAGAGTCACCTCCTGACACACCACCTGCTTATTCCAAAGACACAGCATCTCCAAAACCTACAGCTGCTGAAGGAAAAACATCAGCGGACATGCCCCCTCCAAAATCGACAGAAGTAGAGGGGCCTCTGACTCCAGTTTCAGGCTCTGAGGCCCAGTCCTGCTGTCCACTCTGTAAAGTGAAGCTGAACATGGGATCAGGAGAGTCACCTAACTATAGCACCTGTACAGAGTGCCAGAAGACTGTGTGCAACCTGTGTGGATTCAACCCCACTCCACATCTCTCAGAGGTAAGAGTTCTGCTGCAGCTCTTTTTTAAAGTGTTTTTGAGCAATTCTTTACCTTAGTTTATTGGTGTATTTCCTATTAAAACAGGAAGTTGGGCCAGAACACCTCAAAGAGCTTGTTCTGTTTTTAGCTGCCTGTAGCTTTTAGTTTTTCATCACGGCCAGCAACACTAAAATACTATTTATGCTACTTATGTTAGCTTGTCGTAGGCAGGTGGTATTTATAATTTAGGAGCATGGGACATGCTTATTCTAGAGGGCATTTTATTGGACAAGAATTTGTATATGTGCTGTGAACAAAAGTTTTTTTTGGTCAAATTTTGAGGTGTGCATACTGTATGTGCTCCTTTTTTATAGTGATCAAAGGTGTGATTTACAATGGGTTTTGGGTGATCTATGGTTCAAGCATTTCTCTTTTGCTGTTGCTCTTTGAAGTTTTGATTGTTCTGTTGCATTATACATAAGTCTCATCATTCCTGTCCCTGTTTACTTAAAAAGCTTGACACTTCACTGTGTAATCCAATGCACTCTGAACCTTTTCGAGTGAATGTGTTTAAGAATGTGTCTGCAATCATAGTCTGATCCCATCTCAGATGACTCACCAACTCACTTCCTTTTGGAAATTAGCCTTTGCTTTTTAGTGAACTCAGAAGGTAGGGAGGTATGTTTTAATGTTTTTAAAAATGAGCAAAGAAATATTTTTGAGAGGATTGTTCATCTATAAAATTATAACTTTAATGTGTTTATTATGCATAACATTTGCTGTCATTTTATGATTCATATTAGCATGAGTTGCCTAGATGAAGGATCTAGACCTCGCTGACTTTTATTGATTAATAGGTTCTATAATTAGTTACTATATATTCTATAATTATCTACTAAATTATAATGTACAGTAGCTAATTACAGGGTTCCCACAGTCTTGGAATGCTCCACTCTGTAAAGTGAAGCTGAACATGGGATCAGGAGAGTCACCTAACTATAGCACCTGTACAGAGTGCCAGAAGACTGTGTGCAACCTGTGTGGATTCAACCCCACTCCACATCTCTCAGAGGTAAGAGTTCTGCTGCAGCTCTTTTTTAAAGTGTTTTTGAGCAATTCTTTACCTTAGTTTATTGGTGTATTTCCTATTAAAACAGGAAGTTGGGCCAGAACACCTCAAAGAGCTTGTTCTGTTTTTAGCTGCCTGTAGCTTTTAGTTTTTCATCACGGCCAGCAACACTAAAATACTATTTATGCTACTTATGTTAGCTTGTCGTAGGCAGGTGGTATTTATAATTTAGGAGCCATGCTTATTCTAGAGGGCATTTTATTGGACAAGAATTTGTATATGTGCTGTGAACAAAAGTTTTTTTTGGTCAAATTTTGAGGTGTGCATACTGTATTTGCTCCTTTTTTATAGTGATCAAAGGTGTGATTTACAATGGGTTTTGGGTGATCTATGGTTCAAGCATTTCTCTTTTGCTGTTGCTCTTTGAAGTTTTGATTGTTCTGTTGCATTATACATAAGTCTCATCATTCCTGTCCCTGTTTACTTAAAAAGCTTGACACTTCACTGTGTAATCCAATGCACTCTGAACCTTTTCGAGTGAATGTGTTTAAGAATGTGTCTGCAATCATAGTCTGATCCCATCTCAGATGACTCACCAACTCACTTCCTTTTGGAAATTAGCCTTTGCTTTTTAGTGAACTCAGAAGGTAGGGAGGTATGTTTTAATGTTTTTAAAAATGAGCAAAGAAATATTTTTGAGAGGATTGTTCATCTATAAAATTATAACTTTAATGTGTTTATTATGCATAACATTTGCTGTCATTTTATGATTCATATTAGCATGAGTTGCCTAGATGAAGGATCTAGACCTCGCTGACTTTTATTGATTAATAGGTTCTATAATTAGTTACTATATATTCTATAATTATCTACTAAATTATAATGTACAGTAGCTAATTACAGGGTTCCCACAGTCTTGGAATGCCTGGAAATATCAGGTTTTAAAATTGAGATTTTTTTTTCTTCCCAGACCTTATAAAGTTGCAAAAATGCTTTTGCTCTTTGTGATTTGGCTGTGTAGCGCAACACTTGCATGCAGACCGGTGTGTCAACATCAGTCTGTCCGGTGAGGGTAACTGCCTGTGTGACTCGGAGCTAATAATGGTCTCCTATGGGACACAAAGTTGTCTTCCTCGAGCTGTATCAAATCTCACAATACAGTATGTGTGTGTGTGTGTTTTATTATTTTTTTAATGTTAGTGTATTTGGCTATGACTATGATGATTTAAATGTATTCATTTGAAGTTTTGTCCTCCAAACTTGCAGTGTTTTTCATATGGTAAGAAGCCACTAAATTAAACTGGTAACCAAATCAGTTGCTGCAGAATAAGCCTAATCGGGTATATTCTGATACATTTTGTGGTAGTGGTTATTAATATTATCATTATTATACAGTGCATGTTTTTTTGTGTGAAATAAAACTTTCTGCTTACTGTGGTAAATAGTTCATTTTTGTATAGTTCTTTGTAACAAGTATTGTTATTCCAAATGAGAGCATGTCTTTAAACAAATTATAACATTCCTCAAGGGAACTTCACGTGTTATTCCATCCGTATGAACAGATTTTGCTAAGCTGACATGTTTTGACCTCCACGTTGTGGCCTTTGATGGCTCTCACGTGTAAAACACCCCCTGTGTTTGATCGTGGGTTTGTACACCAGGTTGCTCATTCTCTCTGTAATCCCATGAGTCTATTTCAGGTTTTCCAAGCAGATTAGCCTGAGCATGTGCGTCTGGTTTCACCTCACATGGTGCAGCCAATGACTTCACTTATTATACTGTCAAGAGTACCCTACCAAGATGGCTGACAACACTGATCCCCATTTAGCTTAGACCAGAACTGAAAGCAGAGACAGTCCTGTCGTTTTTAACTGCAGACAGGCCTTATTATAGTAGACGTTAATGCATGAGACTACATGCCTTTGCAGTGTGTTGTTTATTCGTCAGATCGTCCTGATCAAAAAGGCTCAAGGCCGTACAAAATTGCGTTATCAGGATCCATTTGAAGAACATCCTCACTTGAGATTAGATTTAGTCTCTCTCTCTCTCTTCCTGTGAGATTTCAACAATACTTGTGCTACTGTGACAATGTGGGGCGAGTGTGCATGTGAGAGTTTGTGTAGTAATCTGTTTGAGCTAACAGGATTTAAAGGGCAACAGCTGAGTTTTTCTAAAGGCCACTTTAGGGCCATATTTTAAAATCTCTCAATATGTACAACAAAGGTTTAATATGACGCACTTTAGCTTTCAAAGATTGTCTCCATTTCTCTTCATTGTTTCTCTTACCTATCTCTCTAGTGGCAACACACCTTCTCCATCAGATTTTTCACTTATTCGTGTGACTGGAATTCCTTGTGGCGCTGCTCCTCTGCCTCATCTAACTCTTTACTAACTCCCATTCTCTCTCTATTCTTTCTTCATCTTCATTCTTGACATTTCTCGCTGGTTGTTTTGAAGGCTGGAAATGTTCCCTAGACCATCACAGACTGTGTATAATATAAAACACAAAGCATTTAAGAAACTGTCCAGAATCTAACATGCTCTATTTATTTAAACTAGTGCTGTCAAACAATTAATCACGATTAATCGCATCCTAAATAAAAGTTTTTGTTTACATAATACATAAGCACGTATATATATTTTGAAAATATTTACATGCATTTACATGCATATATTTATATAATTTATTATATATATAAATATATTTAATATATAAACATAACATATTTGTCTTAAATATATACGTGCATGTGTGTGCATTTATATATACATAATAAATATACACAGTACACACCCATATATTATGTAAACAAAAACTTTAATCGTTTGACAGCACTAATTTAAACGAACATTTTGCTCAAGTCTTGCAGGAACATTTCAGGTTCAATGTAAGTTGAGCTCAACCAACAGCACTTGTGTCATAATGTTTATAACCTCTAATGTAATTTCAGCTTCATTTTCGATGTCTGTCCTATGCTAAAAATCAAGTATCTGGGTTACAGTGAGGCATAACAGAAGTGAATGGGGTTAAGCCATTCACAATAAAATACTGACTATTGCAGTATTATAACCACAGGACATAATCAAAATGCATGCATAATTACAATAGACATCTCAAAAATAAGTTTTGTGGAAATAAACATGATGCTACCAATGCTGTTGATTAAAATGTACTTGTTCTGAACATGAAATACTCCTTTAACTTGACATTTAATCGTATCCGCAGACTTTAATCAGATTCTTTTGTTTAACTATTAGCCTATATCAATGTTTTAAGTGGTCCAAATTCGTAATTGACAGGACTGCGCTTAGTTGCACATGTCATTTTAGCTGATAAGCAATTCAACATCGTCCTTTTATCGCTAATGAGGTAGGCATTGTTGGACAAATCAGGTGTGACGCTTTTTCTGTGTGGCACAGTGTTGACAGTTTCACAACAGTCCCACAGAGACCTGGACCAGGGATTAGATTTCACACTCTCTGGTGTTTTTTTTTTTTTTTTGGTTGGCCATCTGCCTTAGGCTTTGAGTCACTTGCCAGCCACCTGATGTGTCATCCCTCCCCACAATGCACCCCCACCTCAAAGATGACCCATTCATTCCATGCATACAGTCACAAACAGCCCAGTGTAACATAAAATCAAGTGCCATGCCTCTATTCTCCAAGGTTTTGCCCACGCGCTCATGCTCACTGTGACCCATCCACCTCCCACTCCACCAGTGTAATAGATTTAGTTGACTCCCCTTCCTCAGTATTTCCAGCCCGGGGTCAGGTACAGCGCTGCATGGCCTCCCTCAGAGCAGAACTCCACAGTTTTACATAATCATCCACCTCCCTAAATCTGAGCATCCAGCAACCAGAACTGCTTCATGCTGTTGTGCTGTCCTCTATAGCTGCAGAGCAGGCGTGATGCTTTGATAAAAAGGATGCATTTCAACAGAGAATAATATT